CAATCAGAGTTGTTGAGCAGAGTATACTCTGATGTTTGTAGTCCCATAGAAGTGGAATCTTTGGGTGGCAGAAAATATTTCCTGACGTTTATTGATGATGCATCACGGAAAGTATGGATTTATGTCCTAAAGACCAAAGTTGAGGTGTTCCAGCATTTTCAGACTTTCCATGCCATGGTGGAAAGGGAGACCAGAAAGAAACTGAAGTGTCTCCAAATAGACAATGGAGGCGAGTACACGTTAAAGGAGTTTGAAGCCTATTGTACTACTCATGGCATTTGGCATGAGAAGACTGTTCTTGGAACCCCACAACACAATGGTGTAGCCAAGAGAATGAACCAGACCATTGTGGAGAAGGTCAGATGTATGCTCAAAATGGCAAAACTACTAAAGCCATTTTGGGGAGAAGTTGTTCGTGTTGCTTGCTATTTGATCAACAAATCGCCATCCGTTCCACTGAGTTTTCAGATTCTAGAAAAAAGTATGGTCTGGAAGGGAGTTTTCTTAGTCTCACTTAAGAGTGTTTGGGTGCAAAGCATTTGCACATGTATCCAAGAAGCACAGATAGAAGCTGGATGATAAAGCCACTCTATGCATCTTTATTGTCTATGGAGATGAAGAATTTGGATACAGATTGTGGGATCCAAAAAACAAGAAGGTCATTCGAAGCCGAGATGTGGTGTTTCAAGAAGACCAGGCCTTAGAAGACTTTGGGCAACCAGCCAAGCCCAAAGTTAATGATGTTTTAAAACTTATTCCCAATCTTGCACCATCACAGCATGTCACTGATGAAAAAGAGCTACCGCAACATGCAACCAATGATATAGAGTTGCAAGATGGATTTTCAGAAGAAGAAAATCCAGAAGCAGAGGGTGTTAGCAGGGGGAGCCACAACCCCCTCCACCAGAGACTATTGGTCCACAGTTACAAAGATCAACAAAAGAGTCTAAGCCGTCATCAAAATATCCTACTTTTGAGTATATTTTGTTTACTGATGAGGGGGAGCCAGAAAGTTTTCAAGTAGCTCAGAATCATGAGGAGAGTAGCTGGCAGCAAGCTATGTAAGAAGAGATGCAGTCCTTGCAAAAGGATCAGACTTATGATTTGGTAAAACTTTTCCAAGGTCGAAAAGCATTGAAGAACAAATGGGTGTTCAAGTTGAAGAAAGATGGCAGCAGGAAACTAGTCAAGTATAAGGCCCGATTGGTTGTCAAAGGTTTTAGGCAGTAGAAAGGTATTGATTTTGATGAAATCTTCTCGCCAGTTGTGAAAATGACATCCATTCGAGTAGTTTTGGGACTAGCGGCCAGTTTGAATTTGGAACTTGAACAGATGGATGTGAAGACGACATTTCTCCATGGTGATCTGAAGGAAAAAATTTACATGGAGCAGCCAGAAGGTTTTGAAGTCAAGGGGAAAGAAAACTTAGTCTGCAGATTGAAAAAGAGTCTTTACGGCCTCAAACAAGCGCCGAGACAGTGGTACAAGAAGTTTGACTCATTCATGGTGGGTCATGAATACAAGAGAACTGCTGCAGACCAGTGTGTTTATGTCAAAAAATTTCTCGGTTGAAACTTCATCATACTCTTGCTCTATGTTGATGACATGCTAATTGTTGGACAGGACGCCACAACAATCAGATCACTAAAGAAGGTGTTATCACAGTCCTTTGACATGAAGGACCTAGGCCCTACACAACAAATTTTGGGCATGAAAATTTTTCGTGACAAGAAAGCCAAGAAGTTGTGGCTGTCATAGGAGAAGTATGTTGAACGGGTGATTGAGAAGTTCAACACGAAAGATGCCAAGCCAGTTAGTACTCCGCTGGCTAATCATTTCAAGATGAGCAAGAGTTTTTGTCCTTCCTCTACAAAAGAAAGAGAAGAGATGGAGGCTATTCCTTACTCATCCACCATAAGGAGTTTAATGTATGCAATGGTGTCCACCTGACCAAATATTGCTCATGTTGTTGGAGTTGTGAATAGATTCTTTTCCAATCCAAGAAAAGAGCATTGGGAAGCAGTCAAGTGGATTCTGAGGTACCTCAAGGGTACGGCAAAAATGTGTTTGTGCTTTAGAGATGCTAAACCAGTCTTGGAAGGCTATACTGATTCAGATATGGCAGGCGATCTTAATGGTAAGAAATCTACATCAGGATTTATGTTAACTTTCGTAGGGGGAGCTGTGTCTTGGCAGTCCAAACTGCAGAAGTGTGTTGCTTTATCCACAATCGAGGCAGAGTATATTGCAGTAGTGGAAGCTGGGAAAGAGATGTTGTGGTTAAAGCAGTTTCTCCAAGAGTTGGGGTTAAAGTAAGAAACGTTCACGGTACATTGTGATAGCCAGAGTGCCATAGACCTGAGCAAGAATTCAATGTACCATTCTCGCAGAAAGCACATTGATGATCGGTATCATTGGATACGCGAAGTGATGGGAAAGCAATTATTGGAACTAATCAAGATCCACACAGATAAGAATCTAGCTAACATGCTTACAAAGGTGGTCTCAAGTGACAAACTTGAAATTTGTAGAGACATTGCTGGGATGGACTTCAAGTGAGAAGTCAGTCATGCATGTGGGCATGGAGGGGGAGAATTGTTAGCTCCAACCCCATGCATGGAGAAGAGAGAGTCAAGGAAGAGTGGCGTATGAGGACCTCCACCACAAGTGCAAGTCTGAGCTGGGTATCTGAAAAACTCTCCATTCTCTTTACGTTGTTGCCTTTGTTGATTCTCACCATTAACCATTAAAGAATGTAGAAATTTTTGGTGGGATTTTCCTCCTTCTCCCTCACTCTCTTTGTGTTTAAATAGAGATGGGAGGGAAAGTGTGAGTGTATCAGAAAAACAGAGAGTTGTGAGAAGTGTATAAAAACTTTGTGTTGAGTAGAGAGAGTGAGATACTCTTCCTCCTCCGTTTTGTATTTTTTGCTCTGTTTTAGTGAAAATTCTCATTTCTACTCTGTGGACATAGGCATTGGGCCGAACCATGTAAATATTGTGTTCTCTGTATGTGTAAAATCATTTTCTAGGTGTGTTTGATCCTAACAATGCAGCCACAGTTAATTTCCATTCCCAGAGAAAATAAACAAAGCAACATAAACATGATAGAAATTTTTTTAATAATTGCTAAAAATTACATATAGATGTAAAATATAGCCAGAGAAAATTCAAAAAAGAAACATAAATCTAGCAAGCACAGAAGATGAAAATGATAGAGAAAATTAAACATGGCAAGCCAGAGAAAATTTCCATTCCATAATATGAAAATGCCAGAGAAATTGATAGACACAACTAAAGAAAATTAAACATAACAGACACACACAAGGGAGAAAAGTGATGTGGCTAGAAAAAATTATAAATACCAGAGAAACATAGACACAGACAAGAGAGTAAAATTACATATATATGTAAAATATAGCTAGATGACAGAGAAAATTATTTTTGAAATTCAAAAAAGAAACATAAATCTAGTAAGTATAGAAAATGAAAATGACAGAGAAAATTATACATGCCAGAGAAAATTACACATGGCAAGCCAGAGAAATTTATAGAGCAGAGAAATTTGAATGAATTATATTTGAAAATTACACAGAGAAATACAGATAAATTAATCATGTCAAAGAAAATTCAAATTTTTTTTTCAATTAATTTTTTTTCAAATAATTTTTTTTCCAATTAATTTTTTTGGGTAAATTACACTAACACCCCCCTGAGGTTTAGATTTATTACAGTTCCCCCCTCACCTTTTGAAAATTACATTTCCCCCCTAAGGTTTAAAGTTTCATTACAGATTTTCTCCTTTAGCAATTTAATTTTTTTAAATACTAATCTTGCCCTCAGTGGGTAAATTACATTGACACCCCTCACATTTTAGAAATTACAATCCCCTCCCTGAGGTTTAAAGTAGCATTACCAATTGCCCCCTTGGTTAGTATCAGTTAGAAAAAAATTCATTGAAAAAAAAATTAATTAAAAAAATTAATTGAAAAAAAAATTATTAGTAAAATTTTTAAATTTCTGTTTAAAAACCAACATAAACTCAGTTTTTGAATTTACGCTTTTTCTTCAAATTTACAAACTGAGACAACCATTTATAAATCAAAAAAAGTATCGAACAAGTTTTTATGACAGTTTTTTAAATTTTTGTAAATATAAATTGAAAACTGAAAATGATGGTAAAAATGTCGTAAAATTAACAAATAATTAAATAAGTTACCAACATAAGAAATGACTTATTAAAAGATTCTTAGGCTATGTATAGTTTGATTTTTAGAAAAAAAAAATTAAAAATTAATTTGGCTGAAAAATAAAAAATAAAAAATATTTATCACTTTTATATAATTTTTATCTTTCGAATGGTTAAAAATAATTTTTTATAAATTTAATTGAAACAGTCATACGTATGTATATAATCCAAAAAAGAAATAGGCGCCAAAATAAAATGTTGCAGCGCCAATCACCAAAAATATTTAAAAAAAAAAAAAAAAGGTTCTGCTGCTATTCAGCAAATAAGAGAGGGAGAAGATAAAGGGTTAGAAAGGGAGACTAATTGGGCAGCGGTGAGACTTCGACCTAGAACGGTGCCATCTCTTCGGCAGCAAGACTGGTTCGGCGCCGGCAGCGATCAACGATTCGAAAGGGAAGGGTTTTCTTATTCTGTTCTCTTTGCTTTGATCTAGGTATATTCGGATTCCCCCCTCCCCCCTCTATATCAATGAATGAAATGGAGGGTATTCATTTCTTTCTGCATAAGTCATATAGCCATTAACCAACCCATTGAACCCACATTTTTCGCCGCCTCTCATCGCCCTCTCCCCTCTCTCTTTGTTCGCATAACGATCTTCTGCCATCTAGTCCTGTAATTTCCTCTTTTTCTTCTCTAATTCGAAACATTATTTCTAATTTTTTGTATTTTTTGGATTAAAATATGCCTTTGGATTTTTGATTTTTAATTAGATAACATAATGTAGTTGTTAAGAAGTGATTTAGATATGATTTAGTTGTTGGATTGGAATGACATTTTGCTTAGGGTTGTTGTTGCTATGGCAGGTGAGGAGGTTAGAAGCACAAGGTGTGCCTTCAAAGCAGGCAGAGGCAATAACTGCTGCTATTATTGAAGTTTTAAATGATAGCTTGGAAAATGTGGCTCACTCTTTTGTTTCAAAAGCAGAAATGCAGAAAGTAAGGGTTTGAATACTAGGTCTGCATTACTTTTGGCCTGATCAAGGGTTGGTATGAGAATATATATAGCTATAATGTTTGTGCTTCTGTTGTTGTAGACTGACATGCTTCATGAGTCAAACCTCTCCAAGTTTAAAACTGAAGTACAAAGTTCCCAGGTACTAATCTGTTTCAGCATTTTCGTTTCCCAAATCTGACTAGAATCCTTTTGATTTGTAATAATTGCTGAATATATGAAATTTTGTTCATTTTCCCATTTATAGTAAGTTAATTACTAAGAATGGGATAAGAGTATTTATGAACTTGCTAAGTTGCGAGAACGGAAAACTATAGTTATTCAGGTTGAATATATAAAACATGAGGATTCATTGGTATTAATACTAGACAAGGAATGCAAACGGAGTGATTATTGAATGAAAATCACATAGTTGATTTAGTATTAGAAGAAACTGGTAATTGTTGAATGAAAATCACTGTTATTTTGAGAAATTAGTGTCATAATCTTGACCCACATCATACACAAAATCAGAATGCATAACCAGCCAGTAGCATAGCTACCAAAGGCCTAACCAAACTGAAGGGTAGGGCACCTGTTTTATTTTGAACAATTACAATATAATATGATAGAAGCATAAAGTACACATGTACATTTGGTAATACATTTCATTCATTTCTATTCCTTAGGGCACGTTCCTAAGTCCCAAATGCGCATTCCATGATGCAGATAATTGATATTACATGTCATCATCATCCTTGGCCAAACACAAGGCCACATAATACACACATCTCATATTTTCACAAATTAGTACATAAGGTCTCAATATACAAAACTTAAGGTTTCTTCATTTCATAGCATGTACAAACTCCAACCACCATCTTCATATACAAAGACTAGATCCTCAATTTAAGCTTCATCTCCATAAACGTGGTGGAAATAATGTGATGAGCTATCCAACTTAGTGAATAATATGAACACAAGAGCTAGCATTTTACCATGGATACAATGTAGTCGAAAGCATAGGATGCTTAAATAGATAATCAATGAATAGCATAATTCATTTGAAATGAAACATGGCTTATCAGTATGCAATAGATAGCTTTGAAATCAAAAGCATAATTTTCTCAAATTTGATAATCGTTCAAATCGTACAAGACATAGCTGAGGTATATTGCATTTCAAGTCCAAAGCTTCAATTTCACATTATTATTAGCAAATTCATGATTATATATGACAACAAAAATAAAAATTATAACAATAAATCAAACCTATCTTCATCCCAACTTCTCAAGAGTTTTCTTTACCCACTATGCCATATCTAGGGCCACAGGTTGTACAAATCATCTAGACAATGAGAGAACACATGAAGTAAATTATATACCTATTTGAAACATCTGAGCGTAAACAACACATGGAGTAAACCATATGGGGTAAAGTAAATTTTGCCCTTTTTTCATTAACTTTTTTTTAAGTATTCTTTTAAGACTAAATGAAGGGCTTGGGTGTTTGTTTGAGTAGGGAGGAAATGACTTTGAGATATATGACTCAGAGAGAACAGTGGGTCACACAGGTCAGCTTTATATTTCAGCTTCTTATTGCATTATTAAATACCATGGATTTTTCTATTTCCATGGCATCTAGAGAACCAAATGCATCATTAGTATAGTGTCATTGCAAAGAAAGCTCCAACCAGACTTGGATGATTGCAAAACAGAATGGATCCATTTTTGAAAATAAATGTAATTGGTGATATTCTCATACAATGCTATAAATGATTTTTTACATAAAACAGAGTACTTGTTTTAAATGCTATGAAAAACAAAATGCAAAAAATGTTGCAACTTCAAAAGAAACAATTTCATTTGGATAATGTTGTAAAACAACATCTATATACACAAAATCCTCGTTTTAATGCAATTGGGAGTTTCTAAAAACCCACCACACACCCGCCATGTTCATCTCTACACCTATATTCACAAATTTTTCTTCGTAACACACAAGATATACAATGCATATAGAGAGAAAATAAGCGAGTGTAGAGAGAAAATAAGCGAGTGTATTTAGAAGCTCCGATGAATTCTTTTCATAAATGCAGCCTCTGCTTCTCCAAAACCTGCTGCTGCTAGTGATAGTAACTGCAATGTATGTACTCTCCCCCAAAAAAAAATGGAGTAAATTCTTGAGTTTTTATTTATTTATTTATGGGTACCTAGAATTATGGTTCAACAGTAATAATAATATACCTTCACAAAAAGATTGTACACAAGCTGTATTGAGATTTATCATTTTTAAATACTGTGCTCATTAGTGACCTCCTAATTACAATGTCTTTGACACTGAGCTGCTATGGCATCTAATTGTTAAAAGGAAAGTTACTTCCAAAAGGATTAAGATCAAGCAGAAATGATTAATGTTCCTATTTTGGTTTGCTGAATTAACTTTTTAGTTTATTCATATGCATTAGTGGTTTCTAGATTAGTTTGTGTTTTTATTTTTCAAGTCAGAAATTTTTTGGAGAGATGCAAAATATGGTCCAAGAATTAAAGAACTTAGTTTTTTAAGTTTTTTCATTTTTTAATATATGTAACCACAGTTAATTTTTTTTTATTTAATTCATTTGTATATATTTTTGAATATTTAATTTTTATTTATGAAATATATGACGTTATTCTATTCAATATGTGGTTATGATTCAAAATATAGTATATAGTGTGTATTACATTCTTCAAATGTGCATACAAAAATAATATTGATTATTTTTCAAATATGTCGAACCCTTTTTTTATTACAGATTTTATTAGTTATTAATCACACTTAAAAGGTGTGATCTAAATGTTGTTAATCACACTTAAAAAGTGTGATTAAAAATGACTATTTTTAATCACACTTTCAAAGATCACACTTAAAATGTGTGATCTAAATGTTATTAATCACACTTAAAAAGTGTGATTAAAAATGACCCTTTTTAATCACACTTCCAAAGATCACACTTAAAAGGTGTGATCTAAATATTTTTAATCACACTCCCAAAGATCACACTTTAATAAAACTTAAAAGGTGTGATTAAATAACATACATCACACAAAAAAAGTGTGATCTTTATCTGTTTTTGTAGTAGTGCGATCCGAAGAAATAATCCGGTGCTTCTCAAGCGCTCTAGAATTCATCGATCTGAACCATTTAACTTGTTTTGGCTTGGTCTGAGCCATTTGAGGTCCAATTTGGGCGATCCAATAGTGTTTTCTAACTATTTGGAATATTCTAGACACATCCATATGGTTAGATTTTGCAAATCAGATTTCAAAAATTTACAACCTTTATTTTGGCAATCCAAAGTGCTTTTCCGGCTAATTTGATCAGTCCGAACAAAATGGCGAAGTTTAATGGAGAAATCAACGTCGACGTCAGGATCCATGATAAAGCTAAATGCTTCCAACTATGCAATTTGGAAGCCCAGAATGGAGGATGTCCTGTATTGTCGAGATTTGTTTGACCTCATTAAGCTTAATGGAGTTAAACCAGCAACAGAAAGCGAGAAGACTGGAAGCGGAAGAATCGAAAAACCATTAGCCAGATCAGACAATGGATCAATCACAGTGTCTTCCACCATGTCACCCAGGAGACTGATGCATATGCTCTCTGGATGAAGTTAGAAGGCATATACCAGTCAAAGACTGCTCGGAACAAAGCCCTCCTAATAAGAAGACTTGTAAATTTGAAGCTGAAAGGATGTATCTCTATTGCTGAACACACCAGTTGTAGACGTCCCCGAACGCCCCGGGAGGAACGAGCTCCCGTTCTGTTCATTTTGGGGTCACTACAGCCCAGGACTCTCAAATTTGTCATGGTTCTAAATCTGAACCAAAGAGTCCAAATCCGGCAAATCGTTTTGAGAAAACAGATTTTCGAAAGAAGTGCCAAACATGGACTGCTTTGCCAGATACAGAGTCACCACCTAAATATTTTATTTAATGGGAAATTTAGGAAACCCTGACTCGGTGCCAAAGGCCACGTGTCCGTCATCACCAAAGTTGCCTCGGCTCGGGAACTTGGGTACGATTGGGGAAGGTCACTTCGTGAGCACCCCCGCTCGCCCGATCAAAGATCGGCCTCTACTAACCATGATATCTAGTTTTGAAAACATTATGCGTTCTTATTCCGGTTATTAGCCTAGATTTACTATGTGATGCGCACAGCATACAAGTATAGACTGAGTTGCCTGAATTTGGAACAAAAACATTTCATGTTTGTTTGTTTGAAAATGGTTTTGATGGTGCTACCCGCAGGTATAGGCTTAAATGCAGATTTTGCCACCCTCAGGTGGGTTAGAAAAGATAGTTTTTGCCACTATCTAGTGGGCTTTAAAACAAAACAGTTGATGATTTATTCCAATCCAAGTAACCCAACCTTCACCCACAGCATTCAGGCAGTTATAATCACATAGCATTTAGCCTCATGGTAAGCATGCTATTCATGGCAGTCACTCACACGCATGCAAGGATGCTAAAGCATAAAACTTACCGAGTACTCCAAGCCAAAAACAGAAACTACATTAGAAATTATGCTGATCCTAAGTATACAGAATTACAGAACTCTGCCTAATGCAACACATGCAAGAATGCAAACTATAGCAGGCTCGGCTTTCTAAACATGGCATGTGAATGCTACAGCTAACATGTGTTCAATTGTAATTGAAATACAAATGCAGTTAGTGATGATGACGCGCGAGGCCGGTGCATGCAAAACAGATGAATGATGCAAAACATGCTGTCATCATTGTATGCTATTGAAATATGCCCTAATCTAAACCATCATAAGCAGGTAAAAAAAAGGGAAGAAAGACGTGGGGTTGGAAGACATACATCACACTCACGCACACTTATTTACAGTTTTTTGCCCCCGCGCAGAGGTTCCCGATAAATATACAGTCCCGAATAAAGAATATGTACAGTCCAAAATTTACAGTCCGAATAATTGTAAGCAAAATTCCCAATTAATTAACAAATTAACTAAGAAAAACTGTAAAACTAGCCGTGCAAGCCAGGACTGCCTTGCTCCCTGATGAAATGATATATGTCTGGGCTGCCTTGCGCGGAAATCCATCGTGGGGATGCCCCAAAATTAAGCCTTGTTTAGCAGTTTATCTTGTAAAGCGTTGCCAAGACTCCGAAAAGTTGCTGATTCCTTCATTTTTCGTGCATACAGAGAGCAGGATAAGGGGCATGGCAAATTGTATTTTCACAGACATATGCAGTGCTCTCGATCCTCGTTGCGCACCAATCACGCATATCGATGCAATGATTGGCAAGAGGGGTCGAAATGTGCAACTCAATTAGAATGACATGCCACGTATAACACAACAAACCCTAACTCCATCATGGGTAATCCGGAGGTCGGTGACTGGGGAATTGAGAACACGTTTCCGTCACTCGAGTTACGAAACGTACCTCGTTTCCTGTGCCGGGCTAACCCTATCCGCGGACACGCCGATGCAATATGCATGATATGCATGAATGCAACTAGTACAGCCTAGCATGCACAAATGCTATATGAAAATGAGGAATGTCTCGAATATGCATGCACAACGGGCAGCGCAAACCGAGGAAAATTGACTGAATGCGATCTTAGATACAACCTAGTAATGGGCACTATGCCTGTAAAAAAGTAGATGCCTTGAATGCGTGCACACGGGCATGCAAACCGAAAAAATGACATACGCAAGCAATGACATGGAAATGTGATATGGGCTTAACACTAACGATGAGAGAGTCTCAGCCACACTCACAAAAGAGGGCCGTATGGATGAAATGAATTGTCTCGAAAGCGGTGCACACGCGGGCACGCCAAATCGAGGCAATGGCATACGTAATGCAATATGGGCTAAAATGGCAATATAAGAATGCAACATGGACCTTACACTAATATGAGAGAGCCGTCTAGGCCCACACTCAATAATGAAGGCCGATGGATGAAATGAAGTGCCGTCCAAAATGCGTGCACACTACGGGCACGCAAATCAGACAATGGCATACGCAATGCAATATGGCTAAAATGGCATATAGAATGCAACATGGACTTATACTAACATTGAGAGAGGCCTCAAGGCCCACACTCACATAAGAGGCGCGATGGATTGAAAATGAAGTGCCTCGAAATGTGTGCACAACGGGCACGCAAACCGAAACCAAATGGCAGTACACATGCAATATGGCTAAAATGGCATATAGAATGCAAGCATGGACTTATAACTAACATGAGAAGAGCCTCAGCACACTCACATAAGGGGTCGATGGATTGACAAATGAAGTGCCTCGATAATGCGTGCACACGGGACACGCAAAAAACCGAAGGCAATGGCATACACAATGCATCATATGGCTAAAATCGGCATATAGAAGTGCGAAACATGGACTGTATATACTACATTGAGAGTAGCCCAGAGCCAACACTCACATAAGAGGCCGCTGGATGAAAAATGGAAGTGCCCTCGAAATACGTGCACACGGGCACGCAAACCGAAGCAATGGCATAACACAATGCCAATTTATGGCTAAAATGGGCATATAGAATGCACATGGACTTATACTAACTGAGAGGAGCCCAGCCACACTCACATAAGAGGCCGATGGATGAAAATGAAGTGCCTCGAAAAGCGTGCCACACGGGGCACGCAAACGATAAGCAATGGGCATACACAATGCAA